AGCGTATATGGTTTTGGAGGTTCTACTGGGAACTGGTTTAGGCCCTATTTACATGTCCGCAATCAAAAATGTTATGTACATGGTCATCATTCCAGTCATCGCTTATTGCCTTGCGGTATCCCGCAAGGAACTATTTTAGGACCTTCGCTTTTTTGCTAGATTACTGATTTATATAGCTATATATATATATATATATATATATATATATATATATATATATATATATATATATATATATATATATATATATATATATATATATATATATATATATATATATATACATACTACAATGATAAACCTGTCTTTACAGGTAGTTTACCAGTGTCTACTTGAATTAACGCTCTACATAATAACAATATATATTAGATGACATTAGTTGTGGGTTATCCCATTCTTTGTTACGCTTACAGAATACATAATACGAGGACCAGATACATATGTTAATAATTTTCCGAACATAATAATTTCTACATTGTTCATCAAACTTTAGATCTTTTAGCATTTCTGTGAAATCTAGCGACGAATGACTGAAAATTCCGAAAAAATGATAATAATAATTTTAATAATAATAATAATAATAATAATGAAAACTTTATTGAATTTTTTACGTATATATACAATTGTAAATCTCACTACTGACTTAGGTAATTTACAATTGGCTACATGAATCACAGAGTACTACATATGTACTATTTACAGTAAAAATAAGAATAAAATGGGTATATGATTATATATATTGTTATTATGTAGTTATTAATTTAAATGTTTAACAATTCAGGGTTTGTCCACTCTTTGTTTCGACAGCAAAAAATATAGTACGTCGCTCTAATGGCATACGACGTCATCTTTTTTATGCAGTAATGTTGCTGCTTTTTATCCATTCCTATATTGTCTAACATTTCTAAAAAGGTGAAGCATTCTTTGTCAAACACACCGAGAGAGCTCATTGATAGGTTTACAAATTTAACAGAATTGAAGTGAACCCTTTGATCTTCAATTAGATCTTTGTATTTAGCTTTTTTGCGTTCAACGTTATTATGTAGATTAGATTCAAACCCGACAGTTAGTTCAACGACATAAAGATCTTCATTTGGGGTAATTAGGAGTAAGTCCGGTCGATATAGGTCACCAGTTATAATTGACGGGCTTTTGTGTCCGGATAGGTCAGCATAAAGTTGACATGGATTTGTTGTTTGAAACGTTTCAGCGAGAAAGTTTAAAATAGAATCATGTCTCCAAGTAAAGCGCTGAAGGCACGATTGGCAGCCGGCTACCACGTGTAATAGGGTTTCAGGGCACAAACAAAAGGAACATTCGGGACTTGAAACTAAACCCCATCTTGTAAGGTTTTTTCGCGTAGGAAGAGAGTTATTTATGTAACGGACGGTGAAGTTGAAAATGTTCTTTGGCAGTTTTGATTGAGCGGCAGACCAGAGTGTGTTTAACTTTGAAAGGGAAAACTTTGCAACATTCGAGAAAAATGAACCTTGACAAATTAAACGGTGTTGAAGCTTATCTTCTTGTCCAGAATGAAAATCCTTGAGAACTTCCTTTGTTGAATTATATATGTCGTACTGAATATTAGTGTGATTGTTAGTTGATTTCCAGAGTTCTTTTATGGAATCATTTGGGGATGTTTTTAAGGCGTTGCGTAGGACAGTTTGACATTGGATAAATTTGACGGATGCAGGGAGGATATTCAGACCGAATTTGTTATGGGTTTGATAAATATTACTTAATGTTCCAGAAATGGGTATTTCAAGCCACTTTCTGATGTATTGATTAATCACAGAATCGATTGTTTCCGTTACCCAGGTTTTCGACAGGGGTGCAACAGTGAGATGCCGGGATATTTTGGATAGAACGTAGCGGTTATATAGAATAAGTTTGTTTTTTGGGTGTAGAGGTTTATGGTCGATATCAGACATTAGTTCATCAGTGAGGGACATTAGTTCAGATTTGTGTTCTTGGTCGGACATATCAAAATCAAAGAATCTTCCTAGATATTTAAAAGATTCTCCCATTTGGATAGTAGGTATGAGACCATTGTTAATTAGTAGTTTCGGTAAGTACTGAACGGATTTTGTCAAAACTTTCTTGATGCCAAAGGTGCTACATTTATCAACTCTAATTATCATGTTCGACCATTGACACCAGATTGTGAATCGGTTTAAATAATAATAATAATAACAATAATAATAATAATAATAATACTAATAATAATAATAATAATAATAATAATAATAATAATAATAATAATAATAATAATAAAAACTTTATTAATTGAACATTTATAGATATATACAATTGTAAATCTCACTTCTTGAGGTAACCTACAATTGACTACTTGAATCACTTATACATGGTTATAGTTTTATATACAAAATTTGTTAATTATTTATAGAAATAGTTACTTTAAATGTTCATTAGTTCGGGATTTGTCCATTCTTTATTTCTACAGCAAAATATATAGTACGTTGATCGGATGGCAATAGATATCATTTTTCAGATACAATATTGTTGGTGTTGATTATCCAGTCCTAACTCATTTAGCATTTTTACGAATGTATGGCATTCTTTGTCAAACACCCCTATTATTATTATTATTATTATTATTATTTTATTATTTAAAAATATTTAACAACGGTAGCCCTATCAGTTATAGTTAAAAACTGTTTTCCAAGGGGCCGTTCACACAAGGGGCCGTTTACACGTATATACATATATACACACACATACATTTACATACATATATATATATATATATATACACATATATACATATATATATATACACACATATATATATATATATATATATATATATATATATATATATATATATATATATATATATATATACATACAAAAGAAACTTAAACTACAAACTACTACTAATTACTATAATAACTATTTACAAAATATTTTAATGATTTCAAAATATCATATGGAAACTAATCTGCCTCCCCAACAATAGCTCTAAACCTCTTTATGCCCATTGACTTACTCTTAAGATCATTTGTGAGATCATTGCAACATTTTGCACCAGAGTAACTAATGCTTTTTTTTAAGAAATTTGTATTTGGCTTATCTAACGTAAAGTTGTTTAAATTGCTTCTTAAAGAGTAATTTTGATTATCACAAATATTAAACAAATTTCCTATTGAATCAGGTGCGATCCCATTTTTGACCTTGTACATTAATAATGCTTTTTTGTTACGTCTGCGCTCTTCCAACGTTTCCCAGTTGAGTTGGCGCAGTAACTCCTTTGAAGGAGCATCGTAACTGCTCCCTGTTAAAATTCTAGCCGCTCTATTTTGCATTTTTTGTAGTTTCTGTATGTTATAGTTAGCTGCATTATCCCATACCATGCTACAGTAATCGAAATATGGGAGTATTAAGCTGTTGTATATAGTTTGCAAGACAGATTGGGTTACAAGCGATTTGATCCTTCTCATTATTCCTAAACTTTTCGAAACTTTAGCATTGATTTCATTTATATGGTCTTTCCACATTAATTTGTCATCGATTATAACTCCAAGTGTTTTGCATTTATTAATTTTCTTTACAGGTTCATTACCTATGCTTATTATTGGTTCTTCTTGAATGTTTAGTATTTTTTGTCTTGAACCAATAATCATGTACTCTGTTTTATTGTAACTAAGAGTTAATTTATTTGCGAGAAGCCAGTGGTGTACTTTTTCTAAATTGTTATTCAAATTACTTTGGAGTTGTTGTACTGTCTGACCGGTTACTGTTATATTAGTATCATCGGCAAACATGCTTGCACTAGCACTGTCTAGACAATTAGGTAAGTCGTTGACATAGATAATAAATAGCAGGGGTCCTAAATTGGAGAGGTCCTTGCGGCACACCAGTTTTAATTGGTTTCATTTCTGAAAATATGTTGTTAGCTTTGCAAGTTTGCTTTCTATTGGAGAGATACGACTTAAACCAATTTAATGTTATACCACGAATTCCATACATTGCTAATTTGTTTAGTAAGATTTGATGATCTACACAATCAAATGCCTTTTTTAAATCCAGAAATAAAACGCCGTTCAGAAGTCCATTGTCCATATTGCAATACCATCTATTTGTAACTGTAAGTAAGGACGTTTCGGTTGAATGATTTTTCCTAAATCCTGATTGCTGATTTGCAATTATGCTGTTACCATGAAGATAACTACACAATTGATCAAATGCAATTTTCTCCAAAACTTTCGCTATAACTGATAGTACTGAAATTGGTCTATAGTTACCACAACAGGACCTATCATCTTTCTTAAAGATTGGCGACAGCACCGCTATTTTTAGATCATCAGGAAAAATTCCAGATACAATAGATTCGTTAAAAATTTTTGTTAGTGATCTACTGATTACTCCAGCCGCATCTTTAATTAATTTTGGTGGTATTTGGTCATAACCAGTCGATTTAGTTGGTTTAACATTGGAAAGATATTTATAAACTTCATTTTCAGTTACAGAGTGCAGCTTAAATTCAGTTTCACTCTGATCTATATAACTAGATGGTTGAATTGGTGTCCTTTCTAAGTTTTCTGCCAGATTTGAACCTATGTTGCAAAAATAGTCATTTAAGACATTTGTAATTTCTTTAGCATCGGTAACACTTCCATTCTCAGTTTTAATTTCGGAAATAGTTGTTGTTTTTGATTTCTTGTTAATCAATTTATTAATAGTTTTCCACATCTCTTGTGGGTTTTTGGTGGTTGTTTCAAAACAGTGTATGAAGTGTTTGGCTTTGGCCTGTTTAATATTTTTAGTTACCTCGTTCCTAGCTTTTTTGTATGCTTGGTGCATATTTAGAGACCCAGTCTTAACTGCTTTTTTTTTTAGATAATCTCTGTTCCTAATTTTTTTCATAATATCTTTCGTTAGCCAAGGTGTATATTCACTTCGTATCCTCCGAGTGATTGGTGGAGCATGCATATCAGCTACAAATAAAAACTTGTTTTTCCAATCCATATATATATAATTAATGTCATCAGACTGTTGATCAAAATCTATATGAAATATTTGTGATAAATCTGCAATAAAATCGTCTTTATTGTAGCCTTTGTATTGTCTAGTATTAACAACTTTTGGCTCACCACGAGGGATCGATAATTTTCTTGTTATACATATCAAACTATGATCACTAATTCCTATATGGTGTACCTCCGATCGAACAATAATTTCAGCTTTATTTG